CAGTCCGGGAACTTTCCGGACAAACTGTGTATTCTTATCAATATTACTATTTAGAGGATTTTCCTCTTAAAATAAGAAACTCTTCTTGGCGCTTATTTTAGTATAAAATATATTTAAAGTAAGTGGGATATCCTCAAAACAAGAATACAATTTTTTCGGTGTGGAGATACTTGCGAATTACGCAGAGAAAGTCGTTTTGGAACCGTTGACGAGATCGGTCGTAGATTTGAATATTTAAAGATTTGTAGAAGAATTTGAGTAACGGGCCGAGAATGATATATTTGAGTTTATTTTTAACGTGCCATGATTAATAAATTTATACTTATATATATATATATATATATATATTATTCAACAATTAAAGTGAAGTGCCGAGTTTCATTTAAAATTGCCCTCAGTGTACTTTACAAGTTAATTTTATATCAGAAGTGAGATAGATCTTCAAGAGATCTTACACTTGTCTCAGAAACGTGTCGTTCCCGACGGTAAAACTCAGATACATCCGTTCGTGAAAATTAATAAAAATTATTATTGTTATAAGTCTAATGTCTGTTGTGTGTTTTACAGATAACGCTTACAATAAAATTTTCCTTTTTGTTTTTTTTAGAAACATAATCGGCAGCTGATCGCACAAAATGGTCAAAAGTAAGCAAAAATTAAACCGCAAAAGCCGCGTTCATAAACCGGCAAGTCGAAGGCAGTCGAGGGATGAAAAGCTGATCGACGGAATGTATGATATTTATATTTTTGCTCGTTGTGTTTATTTATTACTTTTTGTTTCTAAGAAGATTGAAAACTTTAATAGTATTTTATAAGAATTTTACACAGAATATATTCTTTGTATATATTCAGCGAACGAAGTTTTAATTTGAACAATTTATATAACATAAGCTCTTCGTAACGAAAGAATTAAACTTCGTTAAAATTGTTCGGTTCTGAGAATTTTCGCGTAATTATATATTATTATCTATCTTCCTTTTTTTTCCGATGTCTGTAAACTTTTGTTTCTTTTTCTTTTTCTTTTGTATAAAAAAACTTTGGGTAATAAGTATTTTTTTGAAACACACTTCATTCTATGTTATCATTTGGTGATTCACTAGGTTTTATACAAATGGATGGAGAAGATTTGTTGATTTCGCATCAACTAAGTGTCCAAACAAGAGAATGACCGCAATGCGGCCAATGTGTCCAATAGTCCAACAGTTTTACGGTCTCCGCACATAAGCGCGGTCACGGTTAGACGAACGGACGTAATGTCACTAGAACAATGAACGTACTCACCGTGGCGGTTTCCACGGCGATCATCTCTGTGATTACGAGGCGGTGGGTGGTTGTCACGTTTGGCCAGTCATTACGCATCGTGCCCAGCAAATTCAGTGTGTTAACCGATTCAAATTCTGTGTAAAAAAAAAAACAAACACAAAAATATACATGTTTATATATATGTAAATAAACAGTATAAAACTTGTTACTTCAAAACACCAATAAATAAATAAAAAATAATCTAAATATTGCTTTAGTGTGCTTTTGAGAGAACTTTTGTATTTTTAGAAATTCATATTTCACTGTCATACACGACAATAATTACACGACATCACACATTTGCAGACCAAGTTTATACAATATCGATTCAGATTATAAGTGTACGATTTAATACATCTTATTTTAATAACATAAAACGATAACAATGAGACACCGACAAAATCAACACAGCCAAATTTACACAGTTCCTAATTAAATGTTTCTGAACTGGGGTACTTCGCAGATAGAATCCGCTAATATCACACTATTTTGAAGCAATAATACTATATACACTAACGAAGTGTGAATTGCTAAAATCGTTATAAAGTGATTTTAACATTTTTAAATTATTGACGAAAGAGTTTATTCATGTGTATATTTATATGTGTAATTATGTGTATATTATATATATTTATATATTAAACTTTAAAAAATACAGAAAGAAGTGCCGATATTGAGTAATCAGTGTATTATGATTCTAAACCATTACTATAATTTAAAATGCTTTGCCAATATTGTGTATGTATAGTACCAAAACTATAAAAATCAGAAAGTCAGAAAGTCAGAAAGAAGTCTTCAGACTTTCAGACTTTCAGACTTTCAGACTTTTCAGACTTTTCAGACTTTCAGACTTTTCTGACTTTCTGACTTTCAGATTTTTATATTTTTGGTACTATATATACACAATATTGGCAAAGTATTTTAAATTATTATATTAAAGAACTCAGTAATGATTCAAGATCATGATACACAGATTACTCAATAAATTTATTCACAAAGAAATCCCGATCTTTGTTTGTATCGGCACTTCTTTCTATATTTTTTAAAGTTTAATATATAAATATGTATAATATACACATATTTATACATATAAATATACACATTAATAAACTTTCTTCAATAATTTTAAAATGTTACATCGGAGAGTTAATTTATTATTAATAATTTAACATTATAAATACATAATACGTATTGAGATGTTTTACTATTCTCAATAATTTTATGTATTTTTTGCAAAACTAAGTCTCGAAAAAGTGTTTCGAGATATATTGTCATACGCAAGAACAGCGCGCAACGTCGGTAACGTGCCTCCGCCTTGTGGCCGGCTTGGTGGGAAAGAGACGAAACATAGTATGTGTGCGTGTCCTCACCGCTTCGATGCTCTCGTTGCTCCCGGCTCGGGATCTTGCAACTCCGCCGCTAGATAGCATTGCTGTCGTCTGTGTATCATTGTGTTTTGCCAGAACACCTGTTTTGAATGGCTTAAATGGCTGTTTGTCATGTGTAAAGTTCTCCGTAGTACACATAATGTTAAATAAATATGTTAAAAGTAACAGGATGTGTGCGAGAAAATAATCTGTAGTGTTTTAACCTGAACTAGTTAAATAGTATTAAGTATTTTTGAAACGTGTTTTTCATCACAAATATATGAATAATATAAAGGTACTTGTGTTATTGCAAGTATGGATGCTGTCAGTGTGAATACACAAGACTCGAAGGTGGAAAAGAATAACGCTTTGACGGTTTATCACATGCTGAAATTTTCAAAGGAAGGTAAAAATTCTTTCGACGCAGCTGACATCGAACGCAGATCTGTCGCTGTGAGATACGTGACAGGAAAGTTATTGTAAGTTTAATATCATAACATTGAATCGTGCGTTTTTAGATGTATCACAACTATAGATTTGTTAATTTATATATGAAATATTATATTATTATTCAGTGATTCGGAGGAAACAGCAGCAATTCTACTTCAAAAAGATCTTGAAGACTATCGCGCCCTAACAAGAAACAACAGAAATGATGACAACAGTTATTGGAGCCAGATTGAATCTCATCTACCAAATGTAAAAAAAGAACCTTTGAATTGGGAATGCAATCTGTGTGAGAGCGCCATATCAAATTTCGTAAAACCTCTGGCTTGCCAAACCAACAATACTTTAGCTTGCAAGACAAGATCTTTTAGTGACAAGGATATAGAAAAAATTGTAAATAACTCGAAGAAGACAATACATACACCTGAGAGGAATAGAAAAGTTTCTGGACAAGCAGCTTCTAATCAAAATTTAATCAAAGAAATCACATTGAAATCAAATAATAATGAAAAAAATGTATTCGCACATTTTGCAACTACTTCCAGAAACAGTAGTTTTAATAAGCCATTAGATAATGGGAAGCAGGATGCATCTAAAGTGCAATTGAAGCAACAATTATCTTCTTACCAAAAGCTGGACAAATTTGTAGCAAAATCTTCTACCTTACCCAAAAGCACTAGCATGACTGGAATAACTAAAAGCTTGTTGAGTACGGTACATCCGAATGCGCCAAAATTAAAACCAGCTCCTCCACAATCTGCCAAAGAAGATACAGGATCCTCGCTTGAATCTTTCAGGAGTGCCAGAGATGAATTGCATATCCAGGAGATGAAAAAGAACAAGTCAGCGCCAAGGAAAACTCTAGGTGGTCGAACAGCAGCTAATGCTCCTTATGTCTGCCCGTTTAAACAAGACAAAGAAAAATCAACGCATAGCAATAACGCTACATCGCAAAGTAATAAAAACAATGAAGAAGACGAAAGACTGAAGAACATCGATCCGAACATGATTGAGTTGATCAGAAACGAGATTATGGAATCTGGCAAGACGATAACGTGGGACGATATTGCAGGACTTGAATACATCAAGAAAATCGTGAAGGAAGTGGTCGTGTTTCCTATGTTGAGACCGGACATCTTTACGGGTCTTCGTCGTCCGCCTAAGGGGATTTTACTCTTTGGTCCACCGGGAACGGGAAAGACTCTCATTGGCAAGTGCATAGCGTCGCAGAGCAAATCTACGTTTTTCTCCATTTCAGCGAGCTCATTGACTTCGAAATGGGTGGGTGAGAGCGAGAAGATGGTACGCGCGCTGTTCGCGGTGGCCAAAGTTCATCAACCGTCCGTTGTCTTTATCGACGAGATCGACTCGTTGTTGACACAGCGTTCCGACACGGAGAACGAAGCCTCAAGGCGAATGAAAACCGAGTTTCTAGTGCAGCTAGACGGCGCGACAACGTCGGAGGAAGATCGTGTTCTAATTGTTGGCGCGACTAATCGACCTCAGGAATTAGACGAGGCAGCGAGAAGACGTCTCGTCAAGAGGCTATACGTTCCTTTACCGGAGCTTGATGCGCGCAAGCAGATAATAAACAATTTGTTGGCCTCGGTGCGACACAATCTCGATCAGGAGAGCGTGACGAGAATCGCGGAAAAGTCGGCGGGATATTCCGGCGCCGATATGGCAAATTTGTGCAAGGAAGCAAGCATGGAACCGATACGGAGCATTCCTTTTAGTCAGTTGGAAAATATACAAATGGATGATGTGAGACATATAACGAGCCAAGACTTCGAGAACGCGTTGAAAAACGTGCGACCTAGTGTGTCTCAATCAGATCTGAAAATTTATATCGAATGGGATCGCACTTACGGATCTGGTACCGCACAAAACTATACAGCAACTTGATAAATAATTTATAACGTTTCCAAGAAACAAATTCAACACCTTCGAAACTAATATAATATGAAAATAAAAAGAACGAATATTTTTGTCCATAAAACGCTTTTTTTATTACATTTAATGTACAAATATATAGCGGTTTTGTGCATTATACACGCACTTATAGTACATCACGGTCATTGTAAGAAAAATAAAAAAGGATTTTTTTCGCTCTTATCTTGTTATTTTCTCGTTTTTTTTTCTTTTGTTTTTGTTTTGCTTTACTAGTAATGATGGTACTAATATAGTATAAGTTCACAACGATATAATAGTGTGTGTAACTAACGAAGTCTAATTTCATATATCACCGTTTACAAACGAGTCACACAAGGTAGACATATCAAGCCTACGGAAGATTTTACTTCGATATTACAATACTTTATTTTTTTTTAACAGTCACGACCCCATTTTTTTCAATCACATCTCGATTTTTATTATCTCCAGATAGATAACAGGAAACCATCGATATATATATATATGTATATCGATATATATATATATATTTCACAAACCAACAATATATTATATTTTCAAATCAACAGTATATATTATTTGCTAACATAAAGAAAAAACATTTTTCTATATTCACATTTTTCACAAATTCTAAAACATCGAATATACATCCAAACACACTTGTGCTATTAAATTAAAATCGATTATGTTATCGCACGAGGTTTGTGAGAGATTTTATATCGATCAAAGTTTTTTTTTTTTATATAAATCACACAAAACCTATTTCTCACTCATCTGAAAATTTAAATTTTACACGTTCACTAGAGTTTTTTTTTTTATATGTATATGTATGTATCTAAGTAATAAGTAATTTTTTTCACAAAAAGTCTCTACGTTACTTTGATCAATTTTACGTTCGATGGTCCTCGCATATACATATATAATGATAATGATACAATAATTTTTTCCACGAAATCAGCCTAAAGCTCAGATAGTTTGTGCAACCCGTAGCTCAGAAGAATGTTCCTCGTCAGTCTTTTTCACTTTTTCTCTCTGTTTTATATTGTTTTGAGTGCTTTAACATATTATGATTTCGTGACCGATTCTTCTTCGATTTGTTTAAAGAGAGAGAGAGAGAGAGACGTACGTATCATTGAGCATTAGCAGTTTCACGATCACCTGGTTCTCCGTTTGGGGCGTTGATTTATTCTTCTTCATATCTTCTTGGTATACATATATAATTTTTCTCTAACGCGTGTTCTTGAAAGGAAATCAACAAATACAAATCACGATACGTAACATTCATATGTTATTATACATTGAAGCAAATGATCTTTCATCAAGTAAGTTTGTATATAAATTCATTTTTTTTTTTTTTGTATCTTTCCTTACGTATTTTCTGTCATTTTTTTTTTTTTTTTTTTTTTTTTC